TTGGCGAAGCCACTGTCTGCAGCGGCCAGCAGGGGCGTGGCTCCCTCCCCGTCCACGGCGTCAACGGACGCTCCAGATTTGAGCAGCGTCTCGGCGATGCCTACGTGGCCGTTTCGGCAGGCCGCTGCAAGATGAAGAAGGGAGATGCGGGTAATGGTTGAGTCATGGGAGTGGCGGGTTAGGGGTGGAGAATAATGCATCAAGGCCAAGCACCGATAGCAAACCACCATAGTGGAACGAAGCTGGTGATCCAGATCTGAGAAGAGATCATGCCAATCCAAACGCCATGACAATGGGTCTGAATATCAACATCGCGCATTCCACTGCACCTGAAAAAGCGTTCGCGAGAGAAGCGGCACGCCCAGCGATCCATGTAACATCCGACCTCGCTTCCAATTTCGCCAGCGCCTTCGCCACGCCGTCTGACTCCCCGCCTGCGCCGCAACCAGCAGCTCGTCCAACGGGGTCCCAGCAACCTGCCGCTTCGCCCCATCCTCCGCAGCAGAACCACCGCTGCTTTCCACCGAATTTCCACCAATCGCGTTGTGCTGTCTCTCTTTCGCCGCCTGGTGCTCTTTCCACTCAGCGCTGCCCAGGAGAGTGATTGTTGCCTCCATGTCGCCGCGAGGGACGGAGGAGCCGTCGTGACGCATGCCGGTGTCTCGGATTTCCACGGCGAGTTCCCGCGGAGTGCGTCCGATCTTGTCTTTGACGAATGGGTTAGCTCCTGTGCAAAAGCATGGGTGCGTGATTGTAGATTCCATTATGTCAGAATCTAATTATCAACTTTCTCTTACTGCGTGTGAATGCTTGACAGAAACGCTTGGGTGTGGCAGAACCGTGGGTATGACGGGAAAGTGTGGGTCTAGGAGAAAGCGCAACCGTTTGACCAGTGGGGTGGAAAAGACTGGTCGAATGTGGAGAAAAGACGCACCTGCTTTGAGAAGGAGCTCGACCGACTGACTGCGACCGTATCCAGCTGCCATGTGGAGAGGAGTGAACCCCTCATTGTCCCGTACGTTCACCTCAGCCCCTGTACCAGCAGAACACGTCAGCCGTGTCAGACAAGCCTGATAGCTGACAAGTCTCGTGCCTACAGTCACCAAGTGCATTAGGTTGGGGAAGCATGTAAATTGTACCTGACTCTAGCAGCACAACGGCACATTCTGTAGAAGCCATCCCGCAAGAGAAATGTAGAGCCGTTCGGCCCTTGTCATCCGTGCCGTTGATGCTTGGTTGAACCAGAGGCTTCTTGAGTGGTCTGGACTCCAGAGCAGAGACTGCCAAAAAGAGTAGACGCAGACATTGCCGGTACAGATTATGCCAGTTCAAAGAAATGTTGCTGCGGCGAATTCTAGCTTAGCGAGAAAAGGCTCATTGGTTCTCCAATTTAGCGGCGTAACGCACCATTTCCGAGGCCAAGCGCTGGCGACATGGCGCCTGGAGCTCTACCTCCCGACGGATTCTTGCTGCTCTGCTTGATGTCGACGATCGTTCGTCTCAGCTTGCGAATGTGCATCTTCTTCGCTGCTTCTATGAGGTTCGCTACGAGGTCAGAACCATCCGTCTCTGGATGTTGGGCCTTCTGCCGGACGACAACCGGCTTGAGAAGAGCACGGCCGTCCTTCGTCGTCTTTGCAGCCATGAATTCTGTCGACATTTAGGATAAATTTAGTTTTTTTACGTCTTAAACGATAGCTGCCACTCACTGCAATTCGGGAACCCCACGAGACGGAACGACGGAGATTCTAGACGACTACTGCCTTTCGAACCCTAGCAGCAGCGCCGGCTGATTCGCAATAAGAAGCCGGTCAATTCCACTGAGGCAGCGTCGATAAAACCAGAGGCGACCACCTCAGCGCGGCTGAGGAGCGCGGCTGAGTTTCGAGCGATCTAGACTACATGCCAACCCTGTCGAGTCACTGTCTTCGAGTCGTGTGCTTCTCTATGCTTGCCGTGCTTTGTTCTGCTCTGCTCTGTTCAGTTCATATGAGTTGTCACGGCTAGTCCTAGTGCAATGCACTCTGGGTTGTCCTGATAACTCACCGTATGTTCACTTGAGTCACAAATGAAAGCGCTTACCACATTGAAACGCACTTGAACGTACCAGATCGTCTTACACCAGGCGATAGAAATAGATTATGGCCCTGCACATGAATGGAAGAGTGATGGGAATGGGATCATGGAATGGTATGGGAAAGGGAGGATGCTTGCTCTTGGCCAGAAAACTGGGATCCAGGATTTGGGCTGAGTCAATGGGGCATTGAAATCCATTCTGATTTGTCCAGCTAATGGGAAAAATCTACCTAGAGCTACTGGCGTGCCACGTGGAGAGACTCTGGTTCTGATTTACACTGTACACCTAATGCTCGTTAGAGCCCCTCCCGGTTGCCTTGTGAAGGGGGACTGTAAGCTAAAACGTCATTTCGTCGGTTCGTCGAGCGTTTCGTCAGGCTTTGCGCGTGCACATAACGCGCACATGGTTACCAGGAACTTTGTCCGATATGTAACAGTGTCGGGTGGCACCTATTGTCACATGTGCGCGTTACCGAAAACCTTACGAAAGCAAAACAAACCAAGAAAGAAACATCAACACTTGTTCAACTTAGATTGAAACAGTTGACACCCAAAGCCGGGCCAATCACATTCTACCATATGGCCATTCACCCCCGAGCTCAACAACATCCCCTCTACTGCAAATGTGTCCGTTATGTGTACAATCCCAACACTTCACAAATCTTCAAAAACTCCACCATCCCAACCTTCGACTCCTGCTCACGAGTCCACAAACCCAACTCACACGTGCATCCACTCAGCCGCCTCCACGTACCCGCCCATCGCGGCGCCAACCCCGCCGTCCAGAAGCTGCTGACGGCTTCGGGGTCGTAGTCCGGCCGGAAGTCATGCGGACGGCGCGCCTTGCTGATGACTAACGGCCGGAAAACATGGCTCCCGTCGGCGTTAACGAGAAACGCCACGGTAAGCCGGTCCTTTGAGACCTTGCGTCCGGGAAGCCGCGCGTTGCTGTATGTTTTCCGAGGCAGCACAGAGAGCCACAGCGCGGTCTCGTCAAGATTGAAGGTGTCGCGCGGCTTGTAGCCGAGGTGAGTAAGAAGTTGCGGCACCTTCTCACGCGCTTCACGCACAGCAGCCATGTCGGCGCTCGCCGCCTCGCCGGTGGCGGCACGGCATCGCACTCCCTGGCGCCGCAACGCACGGCGAACCCAGCCAATGGAGCAACGGAACACGGGCGGAATGCCCATGTTGCGCGCCATGGTCGCCACGTGGTCGCGGATCGTCTGCAGAGTGAGTGGTACGCCCGCGGGGCCAGCGTTAGCGATCCAGCGCGCCATGGCCTGCTCAAGCTCAGGCCATGCGCCACCTCGACAGCGCACTTGATTGGCGGCAGTGGGTTCGACCAGAGCCCAACGCTCGGCATTCTTCAGGATGCGGCCGACCGTGGAGCGGTCAGGTCGCAGGCCATACTGGGCGTAAACCCAGCGGGCGAGATCTACGTGACGCAGGAGGGGGTGCTCGACGTGATGCGCGCATAATGCGCGCTTGATGTGCAGCGGGAGCTGCTCACGGCGATTAAACCGCGGCATGGTGGGAGGCTGTGGCGGGAGAGAACGATGCTTGAGTGAATTTGCGCATCAGTTTTTAACTTTGGTTTGAGGACGAGGTTGAGCAGCGCTGGGGCCCGTTCAGTGTGGCTGGGTTTGATTCGTGTGGTGGTTGTTCGTTGCATGCACCCTGCTTACAATTTCGAATATGTGGTCTGAGTTACCACCAGAGTTATGATCTGACGTGGGGTAGGCGAACAACGCCTGGTTGTTAATGGGCTTGTACCCCACAAATGAGGAATACACGTGGCAGCGTGCACCAGCCCAGATGTCTGTTACACGCACCTTGATCCTCGCCTAGGTGGCGGGGCAGGTGGGCGAATGCATTTACGAAACCACTTTCATTTCGTCCAGTCGTTTCGTCCGATTGACTCCTGGCCTAGAAACAAGGAAAACATGGGTCGGCACTGCTTGTTGTGGTCTGCACGTGGGGGGGAGGCCGGGCCGCGTGCACTGTAGTTAGCCATCCATGTGCCTGTACATGGGGTGCAGCAAGCAGGGGTTTCGACCTCGGGGGCAGCGTGTCCATCCGGTGCATGGCAAATTCGCGTGCACTGGTCGGGCATCATGTGTACCCACCCACTCTGGTTCTGATTTACACTGTACCCACCCCACTTGGAAGAGAGTGACGTGGTCACTCCTCACCCAACGGCTCGGTGCCTGATTGGCGGAACGAAAACAGCACACCTCTGAACAAATTTTCTTCAGGCCAGTGGAGCCTGAATTGGCGCGTGCGAAATTTCGTGTGGTGAGAGGCTGGGAGCGAACCACGGATTTCCGATGGCTTTTGAATCTTTTGCCCAATCGCAATTTCAAACCGATCGACAGGTCAGCAAAAGCGACCCCGGGAGCATCCATTAATGCGTTTTGCTGGTTTTTTCTCGCTATCCGCTTGTCACACTGAACAAACTGAGAACTGACCTGTAGTATGAACGTTCAATCACAGTATGCTTTCACAGCGCTACATATTGCCAATGGCTTGTTGCAATACTAGTGTACAGTTCAGTAATATCAAACAAGAATTGACGCAGTTTCTCTAAGAACGCTGTCACCACTCAAAAGCACCTTACAATTGCAGCGCCGACTCGCTCTCCTGTTGCCCGAACAGGTTCCGAGCTGCACTCACCACCACTTGACCACTACGAGCCGACAGCGATGACAACGCAGCAGTGGCCTTCTGCCCTGGTCCCATATTCAAAGGCACAGACGAAAACTCTGATGTGTTACCGTTACCATCTAAGTCCACATCACCAGCTACCCCCACCATCCCTCCCCCACTTGCACTGAACAACGCATTGCCTCCACCCATACCACCAGACCCTTGCCTGTGCATGCTCGGCGGTGTATATCCCTGTAACATGCCGTTACCACTTCCACTTTGTGGTAACCCTACTCCTGGAGACATTCCCACCACTGCTCCTGGTCGACTGCCCATAATCCCACCTGCCCCAGATATACCTCCCCCAGCCGCTGTAGACCCTTGCCAGAGCTCCCCTGAAATGCCTGCCACTGCTGCTGACCCTCCACCCATTATCACTGTGGAGACAGGACCACCTGAGAAACCACCTGCAGCACCTGCGCCAGCACCTGAAATCCCCCCTGTGCCAGCCATTCCATGTGTGCCGACCATCCCAGTGCTGAGACCAGGTATGGCAGGCAGGTAAGGCGATGGGAGGCTGTGCGTAGGGCCCCTATGGGTCTGGGCCCCTGCTACAATAAATGGCAGCTCCCCTCCTCCTCCTCCGCCCCTCACTCCTCCTGCTCCCGCTGCTCCTCCTCCTGCCCCTGCTCTTGCTCCCACAGCAGCAGCAGCAGCAGCTGTAGCCGACGCTGCTACAGCCGCCGATGCCGCCCCTGCAAGCCCAACTGGGTTGTGGTCTGTCATTCGTCCCAAGCTGTAGCTGTAGCCCTCTCCTGCCTGCTGCTGCATACCTGCTGCAGAAAACCCCAGCGCTACAGCTGGCGCCACAGCCGCTACAGCCGGTGCTGCGGCTGCTACAACCGGAGATGCTACATACTGCGCTACAGCCTGGGAGGACTCTCTCTGAGGGCTCGTGCTGCTTCTCCACCTGCCTGCATTCGGAGACAAAACATATCCACCTGCCCCGCCGCCCAGCCCGCCTCCAGACGCCCGGGGCGACACGGGCGGGAAATATTTCGGCGGGCTGCCCGGCGCGGCGGAAAAGGCGGCGTAGCCCGGGAAGCGAGGGGGACTAGAGGGAGAAGGGGAGTAGAAGGAGGAGCGAGGGGAGGAGGGATGGGAGGAGGATCGCTGCTGCGCCTGTCTGTCCTGCTGATGCATCTGCTGCTGCTGCTGCTGTAAAAACTCCTGGCGGTGCTGCTGGTGGTCTGGGTGGTGCTGGTTGAACCTAGAGAGTTCCTGCTTCGACTGCTGCTGCTGCTGGCTGGCCGAGTGTGACTGTAACGAGGGGTCGGAAGGCACCTCCCCTCGGTCCCTTGATTCGGATTCTTTGAGTAGAAAGTCGATCCAGAGGTCCGTGAAGGTCTGCAGATGGGGGCGAAAGCGAAGTGGGAAGGGACGGGAAACGGTAAGAAGGGAGTCACTCTCTGTAATCCCTTGATTCGGATTCCATTCCTTGAGGAAGGAGTCGATCCAACGGTCCATAAAGGCCTGCAGATGGGGGAGGATGAGAATCGGAAAGTGCAGAGGGAAGAGAGAGGATAAAGTAAGAAGGCTGTGATCCCTTGAATCGAATTCCTTGATAAGGAAGTCGATCCAAAGGTCCGTGAAGGTCTGCAGTAGAGAAGGGGTTGGAGGAGTGTGGAGGAAATGAGGGTGGAAGGTGACTTTTGAGTTACTCAAAAGACTTTTGACTTTGAGTCGACTCAAAATTCGACTCAAAAGTCACGAAGGGGTTGGGGGAGTGTGGAGGAAATGAGGGTGGAAGGATGCGGTAGGAGGGTTTGTTTGCAGCTACAGAATTTCCACTTGAAAAGGGAAGTTTCTGAGAGAAACACTGGATGGAGAAAGGAAGCCTTAAAACTAATTGTAGTGTCAAAGAACCCTCTCACCGTGCCAAACAACCCTCTCACCGTGCCAAACAACCCTTGCACCGTGCCAGACAACCCTCTCACCATGCCAAACAACTCTGAAAACGCATGGAACCATCACTCACCGTGCTGTCATCTGCAATGCTTGCCAGGGCGCCAGTGCTCCCTCCCACTCCCCCCACGCTCGCCCCGCCTCCAAACAGTCCCCCCACCAGCCTCCCAGGCAGCCCAAACATGCCCCTCACCCCCCCTGCTGCTCCTCCCCCCACCCCCATGTGGCCTGCTGCTGCCAGCCCCACCCGCTGCTTGTCCTCCTCTGAGAATCCAAGGATTCGAGCCATGAGGTCAAGCACCTGAATGTGGTAACCAGGCAACAGGGAACACAAAAGAGTACAATGGATAGAAGATCAAGGCGCCTCCTCCCACCCCCATGTGCCCTGCTGCTGCCAGCCCCACCCGCTGCTTGTCCTCCTCTGAGAATCCAAGGATTCGAGCCATGAGGTCAAGCACCTGAATGTGGTAACCAGGCAACAGGGAACACAAAAGAGTACAATGGATAGAAGATCAAGGCGCCTCCTCCCACCCCCATGTGGCCTGCTGCTGCCAGCCCCACCCGCTGCTTGTCCTCCTCTGAGAAACCGAGAATGCGAGCCATGAGATCAAGCACCTGTGGTAATTGGGAAGGCAACAGGGTAGTAAAAAGGAGTGCGAGAGATTAATTTAACAGGGCCTGCAAGCGCCCCCATGTGACCTGCTGCTGCCAGCCCCACCCGCTGCTTATCTTCCTCTGAGAAACGGAGAATGCGAGCCATGAGATCAAGCACCTGTGGTAGTTGGGTAGGCAACAGGGTAGTAAAAAGGAGTGCGAGAGATTAAATCAACGGGGCGTGCAAGAGCCTCCAAGTGCCCTGCTGCTGCCAGCCCCACCCGCTGCTTGTCTCCTCTGAGAAACCGAGAATGCGAGCCATGAGATCAAGCACCTGTGGTAGTTGGGAAGGCAACAGGGTAGCACAAGGGAGTACGAGGGAGTACAACGCAGTACAGAGGACTGAAAGAGATTAAATGTTGAGGCGCCTGCAATAAACCCCCATGTGGCCTGCTGCTGCCAGCCCCACCTGCTTCTTGTCCTCCTCTAAGAGGCCAAGGATTGGAGCCATGAGATCAAGCACCTGAGCATGCCAGGTAACGGGGCAGAACAAGGGAATACACGGGAAATACACGGGAAATACAAGGGAAATACAAGGGATCACAACTATCCGCTCCTCAATTTTTTTTGGCAACGGGATTACTCGTGGATATCAATGCGGAAGTGCCTGAAAATGACATGACTGCGGTCTTCCTGAAAAACCAGCCCCGTGCTAAAAGGGGCTAGCCACAATCTGAAACTACTCGCACTCGCAGGAGTGGTTCAGGGGGTAGAAATGGCTGCAGCGTGTTAAGAAGCTTGGCATGGGGATGGATGGTGGATCTGAGAGGCATGCGCTGAGGTTCAATGCGGTTGGAGGCTGTACAGCTTTTAACAGAACATCCAGATTTGGGTGCCCAAATTGGGTTCGCGACGTGTGAACAAATCGTTCCGCATCACAGCTAGCAATTCCTGAGTTACGTTTTTTTTTTTCTTCTTCTTCTTCTTCTTCTTCTTCTTTTCTCTTTCTTCCCGACGTGCTGCCCATCCGACATTTTGGGGTGTCCCTAGCATATCGTGTTTTTGCGTGTATATGCCAACGTACAAACACAATACGCTGAGCGTGGATTCCAACTTACGCCCCACCCTCTCTTTGTCCTCCTTTGAGAAGCGGAGAGTGCAAGCCATGAAGGTCAATGAACTGAGCGTGTGCGGTAACTGGGTAATAGCTCTATGCGGTAACTGGGTAATAGCTCTATGCGGAAACTGGGTAATAGCTCTATGCAGTAACTGGGTATATGGGTAGCAGGGCAACAGAGTTGCAAGACGACTAAAAGTAGGAAAAGGTGGAATCAGGAATTAACTGGTGAGCAATGAGCACAACACCGGGACCTAGGCCACCTGAAAAGGGTAAATGCATTTCTGCAAACGCTCAAAACAAAGATATTACCTGGAAAAGCACCTGATGAAAGTGCTGCACCTTCTTCTTACTCACCTCCTTGCTGTGCTTGCGCTGAAAGTAAGTCACCAGAAGCTTGATCACGATTCTCCTGCTCCACAAACACACGGTTCCACACAGAAAAGGCAGAAAAGGTAAAAACAAGGGGGGTTAGGTCGCGCCATAGCATCTATATTGAAGCCGGAATCAGAAGCCATTCTGATAAGCCGCACCATACACATCCTGTTTTTCATCTGTCTACAGAAAAGTCAGAAGACACTTTATTAAGCCGCGCCATACACCGCTCCAGCAAACACTATCCCCCTTATAAAGCAATTCCTTTCAAAATCAGCTTCTCACCTGTCTACAGTGAAGTCGGAATCAGAAGACATCCTGTTGAGCCGCACCATGCACTGCTCCAGAGCCTGGCGGACCTTAGACAGCTCGTTCCCTGCCCTCTGCTCCCCCACCACCGCTGCTGCTCTGCTGCTTAAAGGTATTTCCTTACACTATCCACTTCTCACCTGTCTACAGTGAAGTCCGAGTCTGAAGACATTCTGTTAAGCCGCACCATGCACTGCTCAAGCGCCTGGCGGACCTTAGACAGCTCGTTCCCTGCCCTCTGCTCCCCCGCCACCGCTGCTGCCCTCCCCCTCTCCGCCTCCGCTGCTCTCGCCTCTGCTGCCTCTACCTCCTCCGCCCTCCTGCTTGCAAGGTCTTTTGCCAACTGGTAAAACGGGCGACGAACGGGAAGACGGGGGACGGGAAGGGGAGAGAGGAGAGGAGAAGAGAGGAGGAGGAAAGGAAAGGTGAAGGGAAGGGATAGGGAACAGGGGGGGGGAGGCATTAGGCAGAGCCTGGCGGACCTTAGACAGCTCATTCCCTGCCCTCTGCTCCCCCACCACCACTGCTGCCCCCCCCCCTCTCTGCCTCTGCTGCTCTCGCCTCTGCTGCTTCTACCTCCTCCGCCCTCCAGCTTGCAAGGTCCTTCGCTAGTTTGTAATCAGGGGAAGAAGTGGAAGAAGGGGAAAAAGCTTCAGACGGGACGAAAGGCAGGGAATGAGGCAAGGGAAAGGGAAGGTGATGGGGAAGAGGGGAGCAGGAAGGGAAACGGGGAGGGGAGGTTGGCATTGGTATTGGAGAGAAGGAAAGGAGAGGGAGGAGGAAAGGGGAGGGAGGAGGAAAGGGGAGGGAGGAGGAAAGGGGAGAGGGGAGGAGGCGACTGACCTATTTTTGAGTCGACCCAAAAATAGGAGGCGACTGACCTATTTTTTAGTCGACCCAAAAACAGGAGGTGACTGACCTATTTTTGAGTCGACCCAAAAATAGGAGGCGACTGACCTGCAGCTGCTTGGCTAGCTTGGTGTTGTCGTCCCTTGCTGCCGCTGCTAGGCCTGCTGCCAGGCGGTTCTGCCACGTTGTTTTTGGTTGCTGAGAAGCAAAGAAGAAATAACTAGGAATGAAAGGGGGAGGGGTTGGAGGAGTCGGGGGGACAGAGGAGGTGGCGACTGACCTGCAGCTGCTCGGCTAGCTTGGTGTTGTCGTCCCTTGCTGCCGCTAGCTCTGCTGCCAGCCGGTTCTGGATGTCCAAAGAAAGAACACAAAGCGAGACATACAGGCAATAGGCAATCGACTCTTGAGTCGATCAAAAGTCTAACAGATTATCCTCACGTCTGGAAAAAAAAAGGCACCAAGACGGAAAATACAGACAGGCACCAATTATAAATGGGACGGGAGAACGAACCACAATGCACCACAGCACACAAAACAGGAAAAACATACGGACAAACGGATGCAAACGGGTCTAGGTCGCACCTGAGCCTCAGCTTCGGCGTAAAACTGCCCCAGAGCTGCCTGCAGGTTGTTCAACTCCTGATCCCGAGCCTCAAGTTCGGCCCGAAGCACCTGCCTCTCCCTCTCCGCCTCCTCCCTCTCTCTCTCCCTCCTCGCTCCCTCCTCCTCCACCTCCTTGGCTCGGCTCTCTGCCTCCTTCCTGGCAGCTTCCGTTGCGGAGCGTGCGTCTGCTAGCGCGGATTGCATGGCTGCCAGCTCGCGGGATTTGTCCTGTAGCTGGGCCTCGAGTGATTTGATTTGGTCGGTCTCGTGCTCCACCTTGGCTGACTCGGCATTTTCCTGACAGAAAGGAGGGGGAGAAGGGGTGAAAGGGGACGGAGGGGTGGGGGGAGGGAGGTGCGTACAGGAGGCTCATGCTCCATCATCACAGACTTTCTCAGTCGTGGGTTTGACGGGAGGGACTCGAACCTGTAAGAGGGTGAAAGTCTGAAAGTTTGTCACGGGCTCGAGTCCCTCCCGTCATTCAACCCAGCATCCCAGCTATATTGGATTCACTTTTAAGTATTCTCAAAAGAAGCTCCCCTCTCTGCGCCGCTGCTGCCCCCTCCACCTCCCTTCTCCTCGCCCTTTACCTGTGTCCTGGCCCACATCCACACTCCCATCCACCCCCACACACCCACCAATTCTAAAACATCTCAAACCCTTTGATCCGCCCCCCCATTAACACACGTACCAGCTCCAGCAGGTGCTGCTTCAGCCTCGCAAGTTCCCGCTTTGCCTTGTCCCTCTCTCTCCCTTATTCCACCCCCCTTTTTGTCTTTCAGGTAACATTCTCATTGAGACAGCGATCAAAACAGCAGACTCCTTTTCCCCCCTTTCTTTCCCCCACCCCGCCACCTGACACTCACCAGCTCCAGGAGGTGCTGTTTCAGCCTAGCAAGTTCCCGCTTCGCCTTGTCCCTCTCCCCCTTCATCGCACTAAGCACCCCTTCTAACTCCCCTCTCTGCGCCGCTGCTACCTCCTCCACCTCCCTTGTCCTCGCCTCTGATTCCTTCTCTGCTTCTGCTCTGCTCTCCTCTGCCTCCTTCTCTGCTGCTCTCACTGCCGCTGCTATCCTTCTCACTGCCTGCTCTTCCATTGCAACCACTGCAGCTGTCGCCTTCGCCTCTGCTGCTTCCTCCGCTTCTTTCCTCCTCGCTTCTGCTGCTTTCGCCTGGCACTCTGCTGCCTTCGCCTGGGCCTCTGCTGTCTTCACCTGGGCCTCTGCTGCTTTCATCTGACGGTCGCACTCTTCCCTTAGCTGTTGGAGGGCGGTCTGGAAGGAGGTGCGTTGGGAGGAAAGGGCCTGCTCTGCTGCTTGCAGTTTCAACTTTACTTGAGATAGCTGCAACAGTGGGGAGGGGCATAGGGGAGAGAGCAGAGAGGCACAGAGGAAGGGAGGTCTGGAAGGAGGTGCGTTGGGAGGAAAGGGCTTGCTCTGCTGCTTGCAGTTTTGACTTTACTTGGGACAGCTGGTATAGTGGGGAGGGGAAGAGATACGGGGCAGAAGCAGGGGAAGGCAGAGCAGGAGGCACGGGGAAGTGTTATGGGGTGCTTAAGCTGACACAGAAGCCTCAAGTAACTTTTGAGTCGACTCAAAAGTGACTTTTGCGTCGACTCAAAAGTCAGCAGGGAAAGGCAAAGAGGGAGGCACGGGGAAGTGTTATGGGGTGCTTAAGCTGACGCAGAAGCCTCAAGTAGCGCAAGCAGGCTCACACGACCTCCACCATTCCCAATGCAATGTACACACCTCTTCTGAATGAGCTGCTTTTCTAGGCGCCTAAAAAATAGAACTTAAGAAACCGCATTCTCACACGACCTCCACCATTTCCATGCAAGGTACACACCTCTTCTGACACATGTCAGTATTCTCCTAAGTGGCTCAGGCATACTCACATGACGTCCCACCATTCCCAAGCAAGGCACACACCTCTTCTGACTGAGCTGCGGCCGCAGCCGCAGGAGCAGCAGCAGAGGCGGCCCGAAGCTGAGCTTCAGCTTCGGCAGCCCGAGCCTCGGCAAGCTGGTGAGAGAGCTGCTGCAGTTCGGCCTGGGGAGTGCAGGATTGGGCGAGAAGAGACAAGGGTGAGAGGAGAGAGGGGCGAGAGGAGAGAGGGGCGAGAGGAGAGGGGTTTGCGAGATGTGTGGTGAAATCAAGAGGTGAACTCATGAAGTGATAAAAAAGGGCGTGAAGATAACGAGGAGTTCATCTTTCCAATTCTTGCCAGCAAAAAGCCTCGTGTCTGCTGACATCATCAGTACCTGCCACGTGGCCTTGGAGGCGTCAGCAGCAGCTACTGCCTGCGCCAGTTGAGCCTCCACCTGCCTCAGCGCCCCCTCTGCCTGCTGCCGAGCTGCTGCCTCCTGCTTTATCTTCTCATGTGCCTCTGCCAGGTCGCTGAACAGCTGGGGTGGCCGGAGGGGTACAGAGAGGTAAGAAGGGGCGAGTGTTAGAGCTAGACCTCAATCTCAACTTTTGCATTTATACGTTTATATCCTAGCGTAGTGTAGAATGCACTTTGTGTTTGATTGGGTGTACATCCACATCCCAACCAAACCCAAATGTGATCACCAGGCAATCTCCAACCCACCAATTGGAGATTGCCTTGGGATTGGCCTTGATCCCCTAGGGATTACCCCCGATTCCCTCCTCATCCATTCATTGCTCATTTCGTTTGTACTTAAACAGCTTTGAGCTCATAACTAGTGTATCAGGTCAAGCTCAAATCTGACAGTGAGGTCGGGTGGGTTGGGATGGGGTGGGATGGGATCGGGTGAATTTGGGTGCAGTACAGGAGGCAACAGCTGCTGTATAGGTTCAACTAAAATCCTACTCAGCTCCCTTGTGCACCTCCAGGCACCCAGCTTGCTTGCAGCTCACCTGCCGCCTCTCTGCTCAGATACGTCCCCTCTGCCTGCTCATATCTGGGTGCATACAGGCTATAGGTGATGCCTGGCTTTAACTGAAATCCTACTCAGCTCCCTTGTGCACCTCCAGGCACACAGCTTGCAGCTCATTTGCCGCCTCTCGGCTTTGAGAATACTGCCTGCAATCCTGCACGGCTGGCTACGCCCCTTCTGACTCGAACTTGTTGTGACTGGAGCAGCAAGAATAGGAAATTTCTGAACCTGGTTCAGAGCCTTCCCCTAAGCGCCTCTGTGCATGTTGCTGTGACTCACTTGCTGCCTCTTGGCTTCGAGAATACTGCACTCCTGCACGGCTGACTGCCACCCCCCTCCGGCTCATTAGCTAGAACGGGAATGTGTGTATTCGTGTGTGTATGCGTGTGTGTATGTGTGTGTGTATGCGTGTGTGTATGCATGTGTACGCAAGTGTATGCACGTGCAGGCATGTGGCTGTGACTCACTTGCTGCCTCTCAGCTTTGAGAACGCTGCACTCCTGCACAGCAGACTCCCAACCCCCCCCGGCTCAATTAGCAAGAACAGGAATGCGTGTATGCGTGTGTGTATGCATGTGTACGCATGTGTATGCACGTGCATGCATGTGGCTGTGACTCACTTGCTGCCTCTCGGCTTTGAGAACGCTGCACTCCTGCACAGCAGACTCCCACCCATCTCGACCGCCTGCCAGAAAGCCAAGAAGGAACACAAGAGGGAAAGGAAAAAGATGGCAGATAGAGGGAGGAAACGAAGGCGCAGAGGGAGGAAAGGGGGATTTGGGGAAGTGAGTGTGCGTCAGGGGAAGAAAGGGGAAGGGCCGGGATAAAAAGGACGAAGGTGGAGGTTGACAGGAAAGACAGGGTGGTAGCCGCAGACAGGTGAGGCGAGGTGTGTTGCGGTGAAGTGCGGTCTGTGGGGTGTGCATAGGTGCGGTGATGTTGGGTGGGGTGGATATTAGTGAGAGTCAGTGGGGCCCATTATGTTGAGCTGAGGTGAAGGAGAGTTAATCACCTGCCATCTGCTGCGCCAGCTTCCTCGCAGCTTCCCTCTCCCTCTCCATCTCACCCCTCACCACTCTCAACTCCCCCTCCAGCCTCTGCTTCTCCTCCCTTAACCTCGCCACCTCTCCCCCTCTCTCCCCCGCCTGCCACCTTCCCTCCTCTCCTTTCCCCCTCTCCTCTGCAGCTGGTGCTGATGCTAATCCGAGTTCTGCCGGTTTAACCCCTGCTGCTGCTGCTAGCGCGACTGCTGATGTGACTGCAGATGCCACTGATGGCGCTGACGAAGGCGGCACGCCAGGGGGAGGTTCACCTGGGGCAGGCTTTACTGGGGGAGGGACAGACTGTGGGGAGCCATGAGAGGGAGGTCCAAACGGGGGAGGTCCCGCCGGGGGAGGTGAATTGCGGGGAGGTCTGACAGGCGGAGGGCCATTTGGAGGAGGTCCGTGGGGGGGAGGTCCGTGTGGGGGACGGCCAGCAGCAATTGCAGCAGGTCTCGGTTGTGGGTCCGACTGCTTCAAACTCTGCTGCTGCTGCTGCTGCAGCTGCTGTCGATGCGGTTCCTGCGGCTGTCCTTTCACTCCTCCAGAGCTGGTTTGAAACAGGGGCGCGCCAAAGGGGTTTCCCTTTCCTCCCGCAGGTGCGTTTCCCGCAGAATACGGCGCGCTTCCGGCAGTGGTGGGTGGCGGTTGAGTAGGGTGCTGCAGACTAGAAGTTCCGTGTGGAACCTGGTTCGGACTTCCAATGTGACTACTTTGAATGTGACTACTCGGATTGGCACGGTGTGAGGCCTCAGCAGCAACATCCCGAGCCCCCAAATTCGGTTCCGAAGGAGAATCTTGAGATGTATCAGGCAAAAGCCTCGTTACAGTAGGGTCCGGGGTGCCTTGCAGGCGAGAGGCTGATTGTTGATGGAAGGGGAGAGGGCCTCGTTTGGCACGGAACCCTGATGTTGTTTGCCCCGGCCATTGCAGCTGCGAAGGATCCTGTCACATAGCGAAAGGTGGTTACCAGGTGGCGAATTAGGTCGTGCGAGTGAAGCAGAAGCGGGTTGACGGAGTTCCTGGCATACAAGCATGGATACATGAACGAAGCGGTGATACGAACGAAATGGAACACACGCTTACCTCGGGACCCGCTTTGCCGTGCCTCTCCGGGGTAGAGTCAGCAGAGGAACCTTCGGAGTAAGAGTCCGAAGACGAGTGGTGAGACGGCGAGCCGGGACCGCTGCCGAACAGGCCCGGGTCGAGCTCCTCTGCGGTGTCGAGAACGTCCGACGCGATCGCGGAGATGTTGTTCTTTAGATTGCGGAATGTGCTCCACATGATGCTAACGGATCTATTGGCAGTTCACCATGCGAAACGCCTTCGAAAGTCTTTTGATTTGTTGTTTCTCAGGCTACAGCATGGGAATATTAAAAAAGTCGACGGTGGTGAATTGGCGTGAATATTGGAGGCTATACTTCACCCTTGAGCCATTGTTTCTTCGAGTGGATACATCCTCGAATAAGCTGGAATAGGTTCCTGAAACGAGCTTCACAATGAGAAAGCAAGTAAGCTTGGCACCGTAAAGTTTCGCACTGGAATTTGCGATTGGCTCACATAAGTGCCGGACTAATGAGCAACGTTTGCCCTAAAAACTAATTTAGAAGCACGAAGCAGGCTGCTAGGAACACCACAATACAACCTAGAAACTGACGGAAACTAGACCCAGCAGGGGCATCCATGGTCTGGGTGTTCCCAAGGTCGTTGGCAGGAGAACAGCCTCGTATAGCTTGGTTCGGCCGAACAAGGTAAGGAATCAAACGTACTGGTTCGGATCATCTCTGCCTGGTTCTGTCTTCAGTCCGGGAGACGCAACCTCACAGCTTGGCCTGGCTTGGCGGCTGACTACGACCAAACAAAGTTTGTGTCAGTGTACGCGTTTCAGCGAGCTTTGATGTACGTCTAGCTGAGAAGCTTATGTGGAGATCTGCTCCAATGTAATAGGAAGCATTTCACCAGTAGAACTTCTAGAATTCAGATCCCATACCTGTAATCCGCTTTGCCCTACAACGATTGCCAAACCTCGTGCCTCGGTGTCTGTGACATCGTCGAACCTAAACGCTAGGTTCAAAAAGATTCCAGATGCAGGCACAAGTGTGTGCAACCCTGCTGGCCTCTGGGGAATGCGTTTCTCCACTGACCCTACAACGCGGTTCAGTAGGTTTTTTCGCGGTAATAAGGGGTTCCCAATTTTAACCGCTTTAGAATGCAAGGCACCGAACAAAGGATGAACTGGAAAATAACTCCTAAGATGCCCCCTTTTCCTAAGTTACTTGCTTTAGCATCGATTCTAGTCCCAGAAGTGGTAGACCGTCTTTAGCCATAGTAAATACCTGGAACTCTTTCACTCGGCGCTGTTAACCAAACTCGACAGAGAGATTCTTGTGCAGCTTGCCGAAGATTACGGCTAAAAATGAGGGGCTTATCACTTCGAAGCATTCCAGCATGCATTCTGCTCGCTGTTTTCTTGCCTTTTCTCTCCGAAGGTGAGACGACGATACGCAAAAAGGCGGCATTTTATTGCTCGAGGCGTTCTATCTTAGGGCGATCTGATGTGAATCGACTCGCGGTCGCCTCGTCTTCGCATCACCCTCTGATATGGTTTTCCAATCTAGCCAAGTATCATGCGCTTTGTGAGCAAGATTCCACCGTCTGTGAAGCTCTCACCTCATCTTCACAGCCGTAGAACCATTTTATCCGTTTTGAGACCGTGTATTCTTTCTTCACATAACCGACGATGCACATTCTACGGCCTTTTTTTGCGCTTTCCTTTGCAAGTCACTTGTTTATTCCTTTTCCTTACCTAATCATTCTCTGCGTGTCCACTCCGCACCATCTGCGGTGGTGCGGCTTCAGCGCATCAAGTTTTTTCAGACGAATGAAATGTCCTTCTGAAAGCCATCCGTGTACTTTTAGTACGAGGGAGTGCCCAAGCACCCGCGTGACGCATTAATCACGGCGAATGCAGGCTACGATCTCACTCCATATTCCTCCGTTCATGCGGAATCCCTGTCTGTTCATTCCACACCCAGCTGCCGTGGTGCGGCTTCAGCGCATCAAGATCTTCCAGACGCATGACCTTCCCTTCTGGACGCCGTCAGTGTACTTCCAATGCGAGGGGGAGCCCAAGCACCAGCTCGACGGTGTCGTGGAGGCAAACGTAGACTACAATTTCACTCTGCATGAGCCCTTCCAGGTGGGCTTTGCAGGAGTTTTTCCAGGTGGTGCTCTGCATGAGCCCTTCCAGGTGGTGCTCTGCAGGAGTTCTCCCAGGTGGGTGCGCTGCAGGAGTTCTTCCAGGTGGGTCCTCTGCAGGAGGTTTTCCAGGTTGTTACTCTGTGCGAGCCCTTCCAGGTCGGTTGAAATGTTGCGACTGATTAGCAATGCATTTGGTTGGTGGTGTGAAAAGTGTGTGTGGTATTTTTTTTTCATTTTATGGCCAGCCAACTAGTGATAGTATTGCCACATGAGAATGCCTATGGCTTTTCATTCTTTTCTCTTGCGAGGGGAATGGTGCTGCTGTGGTCATGACAGGAATTGAATTCCTCGTGCAATACCTCGTATGTTTCACTGCAAATGCCTCCTGAGTTCTTCCACAGCCACGATAAGGACAAAAATTATTAACAAAGTGCTGTATTCCGCATCTTCCAAATTCTGCAACCTATGCCTTTTCTCTGTGCACAGCCTTTGACAGAGCTCACAGAGTCCCACTGCAAGCAGCGTGGTTTCTATGACGCGGACACGTTGACAGAGGACGATGCGTTTGACCGCTTCAGCCTTTGTCCCCTTGACTTCGCTCCCGCCCCATCTGGCCGCCTCACTCATCAACCTGTGCCTCTTGCCTTGTCTGCAGCCCCTGACTGAGCTCACGGAGGGCCACTGCAAGCAGTGTGGTTTTTACGACGCCGACACGCTGACAGAGGATGATGCGTTCGACCGCTTCAACCTGTGTCCTCTGGACTTCGCTCCTGCTCCCTCTGGCCGCCTCACTCGCCTTGTGGAAAACGAGCTGAATGTGACGTTTGTCTGCCCTCATTGCAACTCTGACAGAACGTCACGGTCCTCTGGAGGTATGCACACTTCCTCTTCTTGTTTACGATGCTGCTTTAGAAGTGTAGCTTGTTGCTTGCTACTTGGCCATTGGGAGGTAAGTCGGGGTCTGCATTCTGGTGGTGTTATGGTGGGTTTATGCAATCCAACAAGAGTTCAGGTAACAGATTCAGAAAAATGATGTGCCAAGTGCATGACTTCACAGTTTTCCTCTGCCTGTTGACTTCACAGTTCACCTCCGCCTGTTGACATAGTTCACCTCCGCCTGAGGAGCCTACTTGAATTGTGTTTTGCCACAAATAGTTGCCAGATTTGGAGATTAGTCATTTTTTTGCTAGACGGCTCCAAAGTTGGATTGAGACATGTTTATTTGTAAACAGTGTGCCGCTCTTTCTATTCTTTATTGCTTGCTTGCTGCTCCGTTTTCCCCCTTTTTTTTCCGACTCCGCAGATGAGTTTGAGGGCACGGACACCAACAATGTCAATCTACTAAACGTTTTCCTCATAGTGATTGCTGTGGTTACTGGCATCAGCTGCCTCACTGGCCTTCTAGCATTTTGGCTGAAATCTGGAGCCTGGCCACTCTTCAGACGACGGATGGACAGCGACACGGCAAAGTTTATGGAGATGTTTGATGAGGAGGATGAGCTCCTTGATGGAGACGATGAGACTGGAGATGTGGAAATGGGAGAAGCAGCTGCATCAGGTCGACATGGGCCTGATTACCGGGACGACTAAGCTTTGTCTCAAGTTTCCCAGCCAGCAAATATACTTGGCTGTACCACGGTATATATTTTGTAGTAAATGTAATAGTGAAATTGCTTTGTGATTTCACTTTCGCAACACTTCGACAGCCATGTCATGTGCCTACAATCACAAGACCAGCCATGTGGCTTCAATGCCGCGTCACCAATCTCACTGGCGGCAGACTCCACATCACGAGTCGCAATTCTCGGCATGGCGAGGCGAGGAATCACACAAATTGCTTGAGACATTCGCATCTTGGGAATCTCCCACAAACCAAGTTGAAGCCAGAACTGGACCGAGCAGTGACGAGGAGCTGATGGTTCCAGTGAACCTGGAATATCCCATCCAGCCATGCAGGAAAATGACCAACCGAACTGACTAACTCTGCCTGGCGTGTGCTTTGCGGACGCGGATATTAGATGATTGAGAGATTTTGGACCACTCGCTCCGGCGGCTGTCGTCCGCTCGACTTGCCAAGGCTGATGCCGGTTGACTGCTCCTGAAGAACTCGTTTTGGTGGTGTGTCCACATTTCACCGTCTTCTACTAAGTTTTGGTGGATTTTCTGCAGGCTTCCTGTAGTAACATACGCTTGAGAATAACATTAGCATCCTCGTATCTGAATTTCTCTGCTGATCACCATGCCGGCTGGAATGGACGAGAGTCTGTCCCCTCCGCCTTCTCCGCTGAAAAAGGACCTGAGGATGATCGAAGTGTACAAGCCCGGATCGTTCGATCCGGCCTCACATTTCTATCCCCGAGTGCTGAATGCACAAATACACCCTCTTGTGCGGTCTTTTCTTGGGCTTGGAAATGAAAGGATCGCCAAGAGATATGTTCACCTTCATCCAGCAGCAAAACCAGAGGCGGTTCAAGAGGCGCTTTCATATGCGTGCAAGTGAGTCGTCGTAGAAATTCGATACCATTTTCGCCTTTTTAATATGTCAAATTCTAACCATCGATTCTTCATGTTCAGGTACTTTCAGTGGGGCGGAGCTGACTTGTTCTCTGTGACGACCGAGAAGGGTCAGAAGCGATTCGTCGTTATCGAGACGAACTCATGTCCTTCAGGACAGAAGTCCATGCCCATGGAGAATGAAGACCTTGAGCACGCCGGCTATAAGACTCTGCTAGAGAAGGCCTTTCTTCCGGTGCTGAATTCCGGCAAATGGAATGGAGAGACGATTCCAGAAGGAATTCTGGCTGTTCTGTACGATAAGAACCCAATGGAAGCATCAGGTTACGCAGCAGCATTGGCGGATCTCACGGGAGAAGCTGTGTACCTTACTCCCTGCTACGCTGATGAATTAGAGCCTAAATGGAGGTGGCGTCCAGACGGAATTTTGGAGATCAACATCGCTGGAGCCATCCAGAAGGCTCAGAAGGAGGAAGTGCCAATTGTTATGTCAGGAGCGAAAGTCTCACGCACGAGTTCGTCCTCCAGCGAAGGGAAGCAGCAATGTTTCCCAACGGATTCTGATGCTCCAGAGCCACAGTGGCGACAGGTCAGGGGTGCAATTAGATACGTGACTCAGCGGCCATGGACTAGAATACCTCCCGTGACGCGGACCATGATTTTCAACCCTGTCCTTGCTTGTTTGGCTGGTGGACGCAACAAGGCAGTGGGAGCTAAGGCGTACGATCTTCACAACGCTGCGCTGGCATCAACTGGACTCTCCATCCTCACTCCTGAGACCATTTGGGATGTCGCCAAGCCGGAGATTCCCCTCTGGGTCGGCAGAATGGGTGGCTTGGCTGTTGTGAAGGTTCCTTATGCTAACGCAGGTCAAGGTGTGTGGACAATCACAAACGACGAAGAGCTGAAGGAGTTCATGGCGATTGAGCAGCGCTATGACCGGTTCATTGTTCAGGTACCTCAAGGGCGAGAACTCCACTAAATTGGGCCCTTATGTCTCATTCATTGCATACTATTTCTGGCTGGAATTTGTAGTTACCTGCAGATGACTCAAACCTGTCCTTGTCATTGCAGGCCTTGATTGGGAACAACGGCTGGAGTTCCCTGAGTGTGAGTGGCAGGCTGTACCACGTGGGGACCATTCCGACAAGCAAAGGGAACATCTACGCCTCTGACCTCAGGATGATGGTGGGGTCAGGAGCAGGTGGCTTCTTTCCCGTGGCCATCTATGCACGGAGAGCCAAGCTTCCTCTTGCTGAGACGCTCGAAAGTGGGATTCATTCTTGGGACATGCTTGGAACCAACCTTTCATACAAGGTACCACCAATTTCTGACTTGTTGGGAAACACTCATGCAATACCTTGCTTCCCATGTTGTAGCTCACCTACCTATCATGGATTTGATTGCAGAATCCAGATGGGACCTGGGGAACGGAGACGGACAGGTTGCTGCTGATGGACAGCCGGGACTTCAACAGGCTTGGTGTCGGTGTGGATGATCTTATTGAGGCCTACATGCAGGTGGGATCTGTGCAAAGCAGCACTCCGTATTTTTCTGAATTTATGTTGCATGCTCACTCCTATTTTCTGCTACTTTCAGACTATCCTGGCAGTGACCGCTATTGACCGGCTTTGTGGGAAGCTAATCACACCCAAGGTAGGGATTGCTGCTGTGGTTCCTTCATGCTTTTTATTTTGTTAAGAATCTGGAAGATAACGGATCTGATGTGTGCATCTTACAGGGAAATTTCGGTTTGAAGCTCTTTGGATCTTTGAATCCTGACATCAAGCTCCTGGACGAGCTTTATACGCTTCCACTGCATTCTCTTCCTGTGGAAGGTACCAGCGAGTCATCTTGCCTGGTGAAACGCGCTGCAGATCAAGCAACTGAGCAAGAAGATGCTCTTGCACAAGAGCTGCAGCTGGAGGTCACAGTTGCCGCACCTCCTGTAAGTGACATGCTCTAGTTTTTTTGTTAGTGGGAGATCAGTGATGCATTGTTTTACCGGTATGTGGTCTTATGAATCTTGATACATCTGCCTTTGTCTTTGCAGGGAAAGAGAGGGAGGGTTCTCTGAAGGTCCCTGTTATTTTCCCTGACATTTGATGCAATTGCACTTACTGATACCTCATTTTTGGCTTCATAGATCCTTTCAGTTGCCACACACCGTAGCTACACCAGTCTCATAATGGCGGGCTGCACATATGGAATTAGTGCTAATCATTCCCCTGTTGTATATCTTCATACAATTTTGACAATACAAGCCACTAGATAGTGGCAAGCTTCTCTGCTAGAATAATATTTTGGATATGGTAGTAGCGCTTGGAAAGCCTTTCAAAAGGTGTTGCGGTATGAAGGAACAGAACACATCGCCAACCACGTATTTGAAAAAGAATCAGCATACACAAATGGTACCCCTTGTACCGTAATGCGCCTGATACATTTGTAGGTACCTTTCTGGGGGGGAAGGGTGGAGAGACGGAGTGTAAGAAATTCATTTTCTATCATAGAACCTTATAGTGCAGACCCCTTTTGGTACGCTAGTTTTTGCCACAGATATTGTCATTGTAACTCTAGTGTGAAGTTTATGTCCTTCAAAAAAGTTATGACCGGCGTCGTTCTGAAACTTCTTCATTCGAGGAAACTCCGCTCTAACCACAAATAACCACAAACTCCGTTCCAAGCCCCGTAAGCGTGGTCCTTAGCGCGATCGTCGCGGTTGCGCGATCAACTTTCGGCTGTAGTTGTTCGCGAAGGTCGCAATGAAGCACCGCAACGCGTTTCGCAAGCTGGGTCGCGCGAGTAGCCATCGATGGGGATTGCTCCGGTAAGCGGTGAGACGGAGGTGGTAAGCTCTAGCTTGTGCTGACGCGGTTTGCGGGAAAGTTGGATTTCGATGGGGGTTTTCTCCGGTGAGCCGTGAGACTGAAGCTTCTCGGAGAGGATACTCCGGTGTGTTCGGATTTCGATAGGGGTCCTCCGGTGTGCCATGAGACTGAAGTAACACACTCTAGCTTATGACGCGGTATCCAAGATACTCGGATCTTGGTGAGGTGCCTTTTGAGTCGACTCAAAAGTCACATTGTGACGCGGTATACTCGGATCTTGGTGAGGTTTGCGCCGGTGAGCCGAGAAACGGAGGTGACTTTCAAGTCGAGGTGACGAATGAACCGGTATAGTCTAGCTTGTCGTGACGTGCTATGGAACAAGAGCGGAGCGTCGCGGTGTGGGGCTTCGGAAGTAGCGCAAGTTACATCTCTCCCGTTATAGCTGCCCCCTGAAACGTACCGACAAACGAATGCGAGTACCGGCTGGGATAACTTGCGCTACTGCAGGCGACGGTGCGAGTCCGTTTAATCGCATGCTTTGGTTTACTGTACAATTTTGCGCCTTCTTTCCTTCCCCCGATCCCGACCCCCCACCTTCTCCCCCGCCCTCCCCCCCTCCTCTCTCATTCTTTCTCTCGTTTTTCCTCCCCACAGCACCGTGGTGTCGCAGCTCATGGTGTCGCAGCTCATGGTGTCGCAGCTCATGGTGTCGCAGCTCATTTCGTACCAGCGCATCGAAACCACCCCTTCACCTGTCCCCCTCTCCTCCCCCCTTGCCCTTTCCTCCCCTCCCTCCATTCCCCTTCCCCTCTCACCCTCCTTCCCCACAGCACCATGGTGTCTCATCTCATTTCACACGAGCGGATAGAAACCACCCCTTCCCCTTTTCCCTTCTCCTTCCCCCCTCCCCCTTCCCCCTCCTTCCCCTTTTCCCTTCTCCTTCCGCCCTCCCCCTTCCCCCTCCTTCCCCTTTTCCCTTCTCCTTCCGCCCTCCCCCTTCCCCCTCCTTCCCCTTTTCCCTTCTCCTTCCCCCCTCCCCCTTCCCCCTCCTTCCCCTTTTCCCTTCTCCTTCCCCCCTCCCCCTTCCCCCTCCTTCCCCCCTTTTCCCTTCTCCTTCCCCCCTCCCCCTTCCCCCTCCTTCCCCTTTTCCCCTCCCCCGCTCCCCTCAACCTACGCCGCAGCACCATAGTGTCGCAGCTCACTCAGCATGAGAGGATCAAGATAACCCTGTCCCCCTTCCAAGTCTCCCTCCCGCTCCCCATCTCCTCCCCCCACTCCCTTCCTCCCCAACCCCTCGCCATCCCCTTCCCCCTCATCTCCCCTGTGCAGCCCCATGGTATCGCAGCTCATTCAGCACGAACGGATTGAAACCTCTCGCATCGGGGGTGGGGAGATGGGGATCCATCGCCCCTTCTCTCTCCATCGCCTCTTCGCCACCCTCACTACCCCCCAGCTTCTTCCCCACCCTCCCCTTCTGTCTGTCCCCCCCGCAGCACCATGATGCCACAGCTTATTCAGAAAGAACGGATCGAAACCTCACCTTCCCGCTTATCCCTCTCCTTCCTCCACTCATCCGTCCCCAAAACCCGTCCCATCCCCCACCCCTGTCATCCCCCCTCCGCAGCACCATGGTGTCTCAACTCATTCAGCACGAGAGGATCGAAACCACACTGTCCCCCTTCCGCCTCTTCCCACTCACCCCCCGCTCACACCTCTCCCCTTTCCCCCCCCTTTCCCCTCCCCTTCCCCCCCCCCCCCCCCCGCAGCACCATGGTCTCAGCTCATACAGCACGAGAGGAGCGAAACCAGACCTTCCCCCGCCCAGCTCCTCTTCCCCCCCCCCCCCCCCCCCCCCCCCCTTTCTCTCCCTTCTTTCTCACCCGTCAGCACCATGGTGTCTCAACTCATACAGCATGAGAGGATTGAAACGACTGTTGCCAAGGTGGGCAACGATTGGCTGGAACTACCCAACCTATTCTTTATGTTACTGGCTGGCGCGCACATGCACTGACATTTAGGTTGAATTTGAATTCACTTTGTTGTATGATTAGCTTGCCTGCGTTGAGAGGTTCGGGGTGGCTTCAGGATGGATTGCAACTCACTTTGAATCACGTAACCAGGTAACCACTCACAACGACTAAGGTAAACCCTCACATTGAATTCGCTCCGTTGTATGATTAGCTTGCATGCGTTGAGAGGTTGGAGGCGGCTTATGGATGGGTTGCTGGTATTGCTGCTATCACCTTATTGCTGGTAGGCCTGGTATTGCTGCTATCACCTTATTGCTGGTAGGCCTGGTATTGCTGCTATCACCTTATTGCTGGTAGGCCTGGTATTGCTGCTATCACCTTATTGCTGGTAGGCCTGGTATTGCTGCTATCACCTTATTGCTGGTAGGCCTGGTATTGCTGCTATCACCTTACCACGTCTCTCCCTGTTTCTTTCTTCCTCCCGCGTCAGGTAACCACCACGCCTACTGCTGTCCGCGTCCCTCCCCGTTTCTTCCTTTTGCGCCCACCTCGCTTCCCCCATCTCTCTTTCAATAACCCCTGAAAAAAAGATCCCTTTCCTCTCACACCACCCTTTCTCGTCCAGTCACTCATTTCCCTTTTCCTTCTCAGGCCAGTGATTTTTTGTTCAAACAGTAACAGGGTTATAACTCCTGCTTTGTTTCTTTCCCTTCCCCCCCTCCTCTATGCCCTTGCGTATCCCCCCCCCTGCCTCTTCCCCTCTACCTCTCCCCATCCTGGCCCTCTTCCTCCACCCCTGCCTCTCTCCCCCTGTCTCTCCGCCTCTTGACCTCCCCCTCTCTTTCCCCAACCTGCCAGGTTTGTTGCAGGTTGAATGGTCACTCTTGCAAAAAGAGGCCACTCTTCCCACTGCCTCTTCTCCCCTTTCCCCCTGTCCCTCTCCCTCCCACCCACCTCCACCTGTCCCTCCAACCCGACAGGCCAAGGAGTTGAGGCCCGTTGCGGATCGAATGGTCAATCTCCCCCCGTCTGGTGCGCAATTGCTGAGTTATGACTGTGCTTTTGCACCCTCCCTGCCTTTCCTTCCCCCCTGTCCCTCTGCTCCCCGCCTCCCCCTCTCTCTCCGACCCGACAGGCCAAGGAGTTAAGGCCCGTGGCAGATCGAATGGTCACTCTTGCGAAGGAGGTGTGTAATATTCATGCTGATCTAACAATGTACGCGATTGTTACTCTTGCCACAGAGGTGTATGTATGTAAGTTAATGCTGAATCATGACTCATGCACCCATTTGGCCGAATTCGTAGGCAGGCATATGGTTTTCGCGCGACCAAATGTGGTCTCTCTTGCAAAGGAGGTGCGTGATGTTTGTGTTGTCGTAGCGCGTCCCTCAGGCGTCCCTCAGGCGTCCCTCAGGCGTCCCTCAGGCGTCCCTCAGGCGTCCCTCAGGCGTCCCTCAGGCGTCCCTCAGGCGTCCCTCAGGCGTCACTCAGGCGTCCCTCAGGCGTCCCTCAGGCGTCCCTCAGGCGTCACTCAGGCGTCCCTCAGGCGTCCCTCAGGCGTCCCTCAGGCGTCACTCAGGCGTCCCTCAGGCATCACTCAGGCGTCACTCAGGTGTCCCTCAGGCGTGAGAGGGAAGGACGTCCGTCAACCAACCCTCACTTCACAGTCCACCCCACACGTCTGTATCCTACTCCTGCGCAAGAAGATATGGATTCGAGCCGCAGCAAGCGAAGGGTCTCCTCGAAATTCTTAGCTAACAGCTAGGAGTACTTAGAGTGGAAAAAAAGCTAGAATCAGGACTTGGTAAGTCCCAACTTCAGTAAACAACGTAGGCGTACGCGTTTCAGCCGTGAGGCCTTCGTCGGCGTGAGAGGGAAGGACGTCCGTCAACCAACCCTCACTCCACAGTCCGCCCCACACGTCTCTATCCTACTCCCTCTTTCCTTCATGACGGCGAGTTCCGCCCACATACTTGCTTGCAGGGCACGCTGCAATCGCGCAGGGAGGCAGCAGCTGGAGTGAGAGGGAAGGATGTGCTGCAACCAGACTCTCGCCAAATTTCTTATTTCCTCCACCCCTCTCTCCTCCCAATCCCCCTTTTCCCTGCTTGCAGGGTACGCTGCAATCGCGCAGGGAGGCAGCAGCTGTGGTGAGAGGGAAGGATGTGCTTCAGAAGCTGTTTTATGACCTGTCAGAGAGATACAAGTGAGTGTGCTTGTAACGAGAAATCACACTGCACTACGATTTCTCTCTGCTCAAGGCTTGACACTTTAAAGCACACTGATTTTTCTTGCTATGTTTCTCCATCCTCACAAATAGAGTAGGAGGTGGCTTTGGAGTTGGCTTAAATTTACTTAGATTGTAAGTCACATCCTTACACATGAAGGAGGAGCTTCACTGATTTTGCTGCACATATAAGAGCTCCACTCTCGCGCACATGCCATTGCATGCAAACACTTCCCCTCCCCCCATCCCCCCGTATTTTTTTGTGAATACTCTTGTTTTCAGGGATAGAGCAGGAGGCTACACTCGAGTGCTCCCAACTCGAACACGCGTCGGGGATGCAGCTCCCATGGCTTATATTGAGTACGAGTCCCCTCAGCTGCATTTAGCATGACAAGGGTTATAATCCACTCCAATCCGTTGTGGAATTAATGAGTTTAATTTGTGCATCTAGTAATCTATCCTATCTCACTATAAGTTCATTACTAGGGCTCTCAAACCACTCCCATTCCTATCATTGTTCTCCCCTCTCTTCTCTTCTCTTCATGCCGTTTGTGCGTTCTTAGTACTTCACCAGCTCCCCTCTCCCTCTTTGTCTTCTCCTATCTGCGTCATCCCTCCAACCCCTGATATGCTCCTCCTTTGTTGCCTCCTAGGCCTTTAAGTTTCTATTTCCTAAGTTCCGTTTCCCACTGTGCCTCCCTCGGCATTTGTGGCGCCTCAAATGTCGCTGTTTCTCGGGCCTTTCGGGATATTTTTGAGAGTTTTCGAGAGTTCTCTCCTCATTCTGTTGTTGCCTTCTCATTCTCACTGTGAATCCCTCGTCCATCCCCTCCAGGTACATCGATTGTCTGGACGAGCTTAGTCGCAGGCTACCCCACCCCCATCAATCCCACTGCCTCCCTCTGAGTCCCAAGCCCCGCTCTCAGGAGACACTCTGTCTCTTCTTGCCTCACTCATCCATTCCCCTCCCAGGTACATCGACCGGCCCGATGAGCTTCGTCGCAGCCGGCCCCCATCGATTCCACCGCCCCCCTCCGAGCCCCAGGCTCCCTGGGTGCTCTCCTCCCTCAGGAGACACTGGGCTCCCGCTGCTGCTCCTGCTGCTGCTGCTGATTCTGGTGCCCCTTCTGCTGCTGGAACCACTTTTGCCCCTTCTTCTTCCTCTTCTTCTGCTGCTGAAAACTCCAAAAGGAGTTCGTAAAACCACCCAAGGATAGGCTTGTCAGAATATTATGCTCTTGCCTGTAGTGGGGTGTTCTATAGCGAGTACAACCCTTCTAGGGTTTGCTATTTGTATCCTCATTCTTGCTAGTGCAACCCTCCTTTGTTCATTTCTTGCTTGCCTAGCTAGGTCAACCCTAGCTATGGCTTCTCACTGTCCTTACTATCTTGACATGGTAACAGAGCGGTTACGCTCCTGTCCTGTGGGCCCACCACTTCACTGCTTCCGCTGCTACTGCTACTCCCTGTCCGCCGCGCGCCTCGTGGTACGCGGCGTTGAAATTAGGGTTTTCAGCCCGCCGTGCGCCCCGAGGCGCGCGGCGGTTCTCTGCCCGCCGTGCGCCCCGAGGCGCGCGGCGGGTTTCTGCCCCGTCACACCGCGCGTTGCTCCCGGGAGGCGCTGCGACGGGCGACGGGGACCCGCGCGTCGCCCCCCGTCGCCCGTCGTGGCCTGCGCGCGGCCCGTACGGGCTGCGCCAGGCCCGCGCGCGGCCCGTACGGGCTGCGCCAGGCCCGCGCGCGGCTCGGGCCGCCTGCGCGCGGTTCGGGAGGCTGTGCCAGACCCGTGGGCGGCCCGTTCTTCGCTGCCCCTGTCAGAATCTAGCAGCAGGAATGAATGAACTAGCAGCATGCAGGAGTACAAGTAGTAAACCCTAATTGGGCTGTACCCCATATGGGCTACCCCACTACAGCCTAGACAATATCCAGCATATATGTTTGACACACCCCCATAGGCAAAGTGGGGGAGAACAAGGGGTCAAACGACCAGTCAAGAGAAGCAAAGCAAGCTCAGGGTGGATCTCAACGTCACCACACATTCTGAGCACAAGCAAAGGGCCACAAGGCCAGTCCACATGCAGAGATATATATGCAACAATAACAGTACAGTGATGACTACCTAGCAAGAGCAGGCATGCATGTATATATATAGATCACAGTACAAGCAGAAACTACAGCAAGTGTGGAAGCGTAGGCACAAGGCCTAACAGGGTACAAAAGCGCTGATGATCACCAGACGGAAGTGCCTTGGTGAATATATCAGCAGTGTTGGCCCGAGTGGCCACGTGACGAAGACGAAGCTGGCCTCGCTGCTGCAACTCTCGAGCCAGGAAGTAACGCAGAGCAATGTGCTTCGTTCTGTGCTCCAGTCTGTGCTCCTCACACAAGGCAATGGCGGCCTTGTTGTCGACGTACAGCACTGGAGGAGAACGAGGCTGCTCTCCCAAGTCAGTCAGCAGGTAGGTGAGCCAGCGTAACTCCTGTGCAGCCATGGCTGTGGCGTAGATCTCAGCCTCACAACTGGAGCTGAGAACTGAAGACGAGCGTGTAGAACGCCACGAAACTGAACCAGAGCCAAGGCTGAAGGTGTAACCCTGTGACGACCGCTGAGTAGCCAGGTCGTCAACCCAAGAAGCGTCTGAGTGCCCAGTGAGGACAACTGGGCTCGTCCCTCCAAGCACTAGCCCCATGCCTGATGTGCTGCACAAGTAGCGCAGTACCCTCTTAGCAGCAGCCATGTGCTCAGGTCGGTGCCGACCAGGAGCCACGTAGCGAGCCAGAAGACCAAGAGGGTACGCGAGGTCAGGTCGAGTGCAAGTCATCAGGTACATGAGGCAGCCGACTAGCTCTGGGTAAGGACCACTCGGCTCTATGGACTCGTCCGAAGGTGGAGCTGAGAGCGTGTGACCTGTAGCCAGAGGAGTGGCCTGTGCTGAAGACCAGGTGAAGCCGAAGCGCTGAAGGACCTGCTGCACCATGTGTGACTGAGTCAAAGTGATGGTGCGGCGTGCTCGGTCCCGGGTGATCTGCAAGCCAAGGTAGCTGCGCAGCTCACCCAAGTCAGTGCACGTGTGTCTCTTCTGCAGCTCCGACTTCACGTGGGCGAGAGCCTCAGTGTCAGCAGTGGCAAAAACCAAGTCGTCGACGTACACGATGATGTAGAACGGCGGCAGTGAAGTGTCGGTGCGCAGAAACAGCGACGGGTCAGCAGTAGAAGGCGCAAACCCAAGAGCCGCAAGCGTAGTCCTCAGTGTGTCGTGCCACTCACGTGGTGCCTGGCGGAGACCGTAGACCGGCCGCCGGAGGCTCCACTGGGTGCCAGGAGGGAACGACCCAGTGAAGCCCGGGGGGCGGCGCAGCCAGATCTCCTCGTGCAGGCTGCCCTGTAAGAAAGCTGTGCTGAAGTCAAGAGAGTGAAGCTCGTAGTCACGGTGAGCAGCAACATGCAGCAGCACCCGAAGAGTGGTCATCTTCGGGGTGGGGGAGAAGGTCTGGAAGAAGTCAACTCCCTCTCGCTGACTGAAGCCTCGAGCCACGTAACGCGCCTTGAAGACAGGCGGAGAACCCGGCGGCCGCTTCACCCTGAAAATCCACATGCCACTGACGATGTTCGCCCCAGGTGGGGGAACCTCGTCGACATAGGTGCCTGTGGACTTCCAGGAAGCCATCTCTGCGTCCATGGCTGCCTGCCACTGAGAGGAGTAGGGACCCTCTATCGCCTCTGCGTAAGAGCGTGGAGTCGGGATGTCTGGTGCATCCGGGTCTCCCTCAGGGGCAAGTAGCGAGGACACAAGATGAGGTAAAGCAGCAGCGAGACACTGGAACTCCTCCTGCCTGTCCTCAAGGACGTCCGTGCTAAGAGCACACTCACCCCCGACGGACGGAGGACAGACAGACTCAGACTCAGTAACAAGACTGGCAGTGAAGTCTAGACGACAGGCAGCAGCAAAGTCAACAAGCTCAGCGACAAGAGCAGACGCAGCAGCAGACTCAAACGACGGGTCAGTGACAACTGTGGCTAGTAGACGCGTGACAGTAGGGTGCTCAGCACGAAACCGGTCAGACGCAGGGTCCGGAACGTCAGGCAACGAGGACGCAGGAGGAGACGGCAGAGGAACAGGCTGCGGAGCAGAGGAAGGACGACGGACTACGAGGTGTGCGCTGGGGACAGCCGGCTGACGCGAACAAGGAACACGACGACCGGTACGACTAGGACGAACAGGCGAAACAGGACGCGACGCAGGCTCACGACGCTCAGCAGGACTACCAGTCTGCACAGTGTAAGGAGAAGGAGCAGGCAGCGGTGAGCCGGGCTGTAACGGAAGACCAGTAGACGACGGGAGAGTAAGAACCTGACGAAGAACAGAGTCAGACGGCGGCAGAGACGACGGAGACGGCGGAGCGAAGAACCGTCGTGTCGGCGCAGCTGCACCAGGAGCGGCAGCTCCAGCAGCTCGAGTGCCTCCAGCAGCTCCAGTACCTCCAGCAGCTCCAGAAGCTCCAGTCCCAGAGCCGACACCTCCAGCCCCAGGGTCTCCAACCTCTGTGTCTCCAGCAGCAGCACCCCCAGAACCAGCACCTCCAGTCCCAGGGTCTCCAGCCTCAGTGTCTCCAGCAGCAGCACCCCCAGAACCAGCACCTCCAGTCCCAAGGTCTCCACCCTCTGTGTCTCTTGCAGCAGCACCCCCAGAACCAGCACCTCCAGTCCCAGGGTCTCCAGCCTCAGTGTCTCCAGCAGCAGCACCCCCAGAGCCAGCACCTCCAGTCCCAGGGTCTCCAGCCGCAGTGTCTCCAGTACGAGCACCTCCAGAACCAGCGACTCCAGCACCTCCAGTAGACAAAGGTCCAGCACCACTCCTAGCTCCAGCAGCGCGACGCGGACGGCGACCGTACCAGTCCTGCAGCTGCTGTGGGGTGAGAGGCACACGTGGACGAAGGCGGCTACTCCAAGGAGACCGCGCAACAGCAGACTCAGAACCCTCAGCGCCCGCACCCCCAACGGCTCCAGAACCTCCGGTGTCAGTACCCTCAGCACCTGCACCTCCAGCGGCTCCAGAACCTCCAGCGCCAGCACCCTCAGTAGCTCCAGAACCTCCAGCGTCAGTACCGCCAAGCTCAGCACCCCCAGACCCCTCACACTCAGGCTCAGCACCACCAGGCTCCACACCCTCAAGCTCCGCACCCTCAGGCTCAGCACCCCCAGGCTCAGCACCCCCAGGCTCCGCACCCCCAGGCTCAGCACCCCTAGAAGTAGCACCCCGAGAAGGACCACCCTCAGTAGGACCTGAGTCACCAGTGACCTCAATCGGCGCAGTCAAGGGAGGAGGGTCTACCTGAGAAACACCTGAAGGAGCAGGACTAGGAGTGGGGAGGGGGTCTACCTGGGGAGCA